GATTGGATAACTTAGTCCTGTTGGTCAGGAGTTAATTATGAGATGTCAGAAAGGTCTAAAGTTGCAGCCATAAAATCAAATCATTGAACAGCTCTATAATGAAAGAGCCATTAAACCAAGCTGTTAACTTTTGATTGGGTGCTATATCTTTGATGCTATAAAAGCCAGCCATAGAAGGTAAAATAGACGTAGAGTAGCTAAGGTATATTATTTCATTTTTGGATTTGTAAGGTTTTCCAACGTGAGGAATGTGACCACCAAGGACTGAGGCAGCACAGTGGAGCAAATCGGGCATTGTGCTAAGGGTCTGAAGTTGGAAGGCATGGGTTTGGGTCCTGACTTGTTCATTCATTCATCAAACACTCGTTGAGCACCTGTTTGTACCAGACACTGTTCTAGGTGCTAGGGATACAGCTGTGACTGAAACAAAGTCCTGCCCTCATTGAAATAGACATTCTAGTGGAGCGGAGATAGACAGTAAATAAACAAAAAAATATGTGAACAGACAGCCACATAACCATAGGTGCTATGGAGAACTTTAAAGGGGCGTAATTGGAAAAGGGTGAGAGAAAGAGAGAGAGAGAGAGAGAGAGAGTGTGTAGGGATGGTACTTTTTATACAGAGAGGTCAGAGAAGGCCTCTAAGATCACTTTTTTTTTTAAAGGTTTTATTGGGGAATTGGGGGAGGGGAACAGATAAGTTGCTGTCCTTTGGTTCTTCAGTCTAGTTGTAGAGGACGTCGCTTCACTGGCCCATGTTGGTATTATCATTGCGCTCTTCCCGGATGAGGCAGATCAGTCATCGGCTTCTGGACGGCCGCTCATGCTGGCTTCCAGCCACCCAACGGTAGCCTATGACAGCCCACTGCAGCAGGGGCTGCAGCCTATGCCATCCTCGGTGACTCACAGCAGCCCACCTCCAGGTCGAGCTGTTGTTCACCATCCCAGTTGTAGAGGGCAGTGTCACTGGCCCTTATATGGGATCCGAACCAGGGCCCTGCTGCTCAGCTGGCGTCCCAAAGCCAGCTTTTAACCAATGTGCCACTCGGCCGGCCCTAAGATCACTTTTGATCTGCTACTTGGAGGACATGAGGGAGTGAGCAGGGGGCAGAGGGATGAGCAAGCTCCAAACCTTGATGCAGGAGCATGTTTGGCATGTGTGAGGGATGGCGAGGTCATGGTGACCAGGCAGTGCCAATGTGGGCGAGGGGAAAGTGGCAGTAAATGAGAGGTGGTGGGAGTGGGAAGGGGCACGTCAGTGTGTAGGCCATTGTAAGGTCTTTGGCCTTTACTCTGAGTGAGTGGGAAGCCATTAGAGGGTTTTGAACAGAGGAGCTCATGATGACTTATGTTTTAACAGGATCATTCCAGCTGCTGGGCAAGAATAGACAGAAGGGGGACAAGAGACTTCCCTTTCATGTTAGCTGTGTGACAATACTCCAGGATTTTAAGATTCTAAGTAGTATGGGATATTTCCATGGGGAGGTCAGAAGATTGCATGTGAAGAGGCCCTAAAAGGAAATAGCTTCATATGACCTGAAAATTTGATGCCGCTGACAACGCCTTTAGCTGAATCACTCCATATCAAGCGGTAATCAGGTCTTTTCAGTCAGGTTGTCAGGTCATGAGAACAAAAACGTTGTTTTGTTTCGTGAATATTCTCTGCTGATCCCTTTAGTACTCTGCTGATCCCTGAATTTTTCCCTTCCTGCTTGAAAAAGGATGAAAAGCTGTTACTCATCAACAAAGCTGGCAACCAAAGTAGCTTTTGTTGTTAGGAAAGTTGGAAACTTTGGGGAAGGAAACAATTCTAATTTTATATTTATCATAAGTCATTTGAATTCTATTTAGGCATGCAAGGAGTCTAAAAGATTTCTTTTGTTTTTAATACCCTTGTTCCTTCCCATTCACCTTGTTCTGTACTCATGCTAATGCATTTAATGTGTTTCTTTTTTCTGTATGGAATGGATCTTGCAAAGTGGGGATGTTTGTTTTATATGTGTGTACATATTTTACTTCATAATGCTAAATTTCATTTTGCTTTTTTCCTAGGTACTGTTTTAAGATCCATCCATGTTTCTATATGTACATCTAATCCTTTGCTTCTGAATGCTGCATTATACTCCATGCTGTGTGTGCACCATAATTTTACGTATCTGCTCTCCGTGTGATAGACACTCAGGTTGCCTGTGCTTCCTGACACCACAAATATTGCTGCAATGAACATCCTTATAAAGCTGTATATATCTATCTGTGGGATATACACTTAGGAGGGAATTGCTGGGTTCTAGGCTTGCATATACAGAATTTGAGTAAATGGTGCTGGATCCTTCTTCACAATGACTGAGCAGCCTCTCTCCCACGAGAAATGTTCCATGGTTCCTGAACCGTTACGTCCCACCAACACTCAGCTTTATCCAGCTCTTGACCTTTTCTAATCTCATAGGTGCAAAGTGATAGCTTGCCCTTTTAGTTTGTGTTTCTTGGATTATTAATGATTTTAAGCGTCTTTTCTACCTATAGCTTCTTCTACAAATTTCTTATTCATATCTTTGCACATTTTCTATTGGAGTTGCTATCCGTGTTGTTGCCATTGACTTGTGGAAGTAATTTTGTA